GGGGGGGGGCCGACATCCTCATGGGCTTGCAGCCTCTCCTGACCGTGGCCTGGCCACGTCCAGCATGCTCGCCACAGCCGCCCATGTCCCTCGGGGTCTCGGCCTCACCCTGCAGGCACCCCTTCTCTCTGCCCCTGGGGGCCGGTCCCCTTCCTCCGCATCCCCAGCAGCTGCCCCTGCATGGAGGCTCTCGTGCCCCCACAGATGCACATTCAGGGCCAGCTGACCCCATGGGGGCGCAGGTAGGGGCAGCTGTCAGGCCCCTCGTGTCGGCTTCAGCAGAGGTGGACCGTCGTGCTTCCTCCTGGCAGCATCCCCCCAGGGCAGGGCCTGCTCCGTCGCAGGTCCCTGTGACCACAGCCAGCATGTCAAGGATCCCTGTGGGGACAATCCCAGATACCCTCCACGTCTCAAGGTCCCTAACTCAGTCCCACTGGTGAAGGCCAGTTGCCATGGAAGGTGACGTCTGGGGGGCCGTGGACCAGGGCCACCCACAGAGGCATAGGTGCACACAAGCTCCAGTCTCAGATCTGCCCTCTGGGGGAGTCCAAACCAAACAGCCCCCTGCCCCCTCTGTGCTTGTCAGCTGCAGGAGCCCCCAAATCCCCTGTAGGGTTGGGCCAGTCTGAGTTGAGGTTTTGGTCACCTGCAACCAGCTGATGGACCTCCAGGCTGAAGACTTCGGGAGAGGGGCCGCCCTGGCTGCCAGGAGAGCCCCCCACCACGGGGGTTTGGGGAAACACTGGTGGGCGTGGCCTCCGCGCAGGTGCCGCTCTCACACCCACTTACTCTCCTGGGGGTCTGGGTCCCGCTGGTCCCTGGCATGGGGTCATTTCCCTCCAGACCCCCATTGTCCCTTTCCCTGTCAGGCCTCACCCCTGGGGCCACCCTGTGAAGCTGGCAAAGAGCCCCCGCCCACGCGTGCCCCCAGGGCTCCCGGCCACGTGGCCTTCGTGGCACCGGCCCCCCGCCCCTGGTACTTCCCGGTGGTCGCAGGTGTGTTCCACTCTGCTCGTGGGGGAGGAATGGCAGCTGCCTTCCCGGGGGGCTCCTTCTCCAGCACCTGCACGCAGGAGATGCTCAGCAAGTGTGTCTCCCGCTGCCTCACTTCGGGGCTGGTTCCCCAACCCCACCCAGCCTCCCTGCTCTGAGTCCAGGGGGTTCTTCCAGAAGCCAGGGTCACAGGGTTCGCCGAGAACCAGCTCTGCTCAGAGGCTTCCCAGCACCCGGCGGTAGAAGGACCTGCTGGGTGGTGTCAGGATCGGAGTCCTGATGGGGGTGTGGGGGCTGCGGGCTTCACCACAACACACAGAATCAAGAGGACCCGGGAGGGCCCTGCCGACGCCGGGACGACGAGGCAGCCCCCTTGCTCCCCTTAGAGCAGGAGGCCGCACGCCGAAGGAGGTGGACGTCAGGGCAGCAGAACCACTATCCATCGATCAATCGATTGATCGCCTGAACCACCAGCTGACAGTTGTCTACTCACGAGCTCATTAAGTCTTTAAAGGAAACCACATTTCTTATCGTTCCCCCTGCTGACCGTGGGTGCAGCTTGAGGTCTGACAGCGAGGGGCAAAGAACTTACCCAGCGCCCAGAAACCCAGGAAAATAAATGCGTAATTAAGAATTCCTGGAGCCATCAGAAAGGCTAAGTAATGGCACTTTCCACAGTGCAGGGTGAATGTTTCAATCTTTAAATGCAGGAAACTGGACTCTGAGTCCCATCTTCTGAACAAAGACATGCCCGCGGAGCGTGTGGTCCCGAAACACCCCTCAGATTAGAACTTGTCCCAGGTAGTGACTGGAACAAAAGAAAATTTAACTCAAAATCAATTCCAGAGCAAGGCTTACTGATGAAACAGGCTTCGGCTCTCAGCTCATCAAACACCATCCGGGTGGGAGGTGGGGGGAGGGGGTGCATACCAGACTGCCAGGTTCCCCCACCCCCCACCCGGCCCGGGCTGCCAGGTCCCCCCCCCCGCCCAGCTCGGGGAAGGGTCCAAGCCTCAGAGACTCAGAGGCCCCCCTGCCTTGGCTCTCCTTTTGGAGAGAGAGCTGGTGGAGGGGGACAGGGATGTCCTCTTGGGAAGCCTACTACCCTTCTGCCCACGGGCCCCCCCTCAAGCCCAGTCCCACCCCACATGGCTCCCACCCCCTGGTAGCCCAGAGCACAGGGAGCGCAGCACAGCCCCGCAGCACAGACCAGAGGTCTTGCCCCAGATGCGCTGGTCAGTGCGCTGGGTGGAGGACCACACCCCAGAGGAGCCATTCCTGCTGCTTCTTGGGGCTGCAGACGCCTGGCTCCTGGAACAGCCTAGGCCCCAGTTCCTGGCACCAGCACCCCCTGTCCCCCAGCTCAGTGCAGGACTGGACTGGAGGGGGTAAGCACCAGTGAGCCCTGGGAAAGGCCCAGTCTGCACCCCTAGAATCGGCAGGCAGGGAACCCACGAGCCTGCGCGTCTGCATTTCTAACCGGCCCCCTGTGCTGCTGGTCCCAGGACCCTGCTCTGAGCCACAAGGCCGAAGCCCAGAAGGAAAGCCGCAGAGCTGGACCAGCCCTCAGGCCTGCCCGCCATCCCGTCCCCACCCCCTCGATGGGAAAGCAGGTGTCCCGCACCCCAGCTCTCTGACGGCCTTGTCTGCTGCCATCCCCGTTCACGGGAACATGAAATGCCGTTCCCAGGATGTGCCACATCACAGAAACCCTGCTGATTTCTGGAAAGAAACTTACAGGGCAGCCGCGTGCACTTCCAGTAAATGCCCGCCCGCCGTGAGACAGCAAGGAGCCCCTGCTGTGGAGCCAGCTTCCACTGACAGTGCAGCTCGCCTCCAGAGAGGCCCTGGTGTGCAGGCAGGTGTCCCGCTCGCGGCGCAGGGACCGTCCAGGAGCATCTGAGCCTCGCTCTCGGTGCCTCGGGGACAACCATCCACCCTTCGTTAAACCCCTTCTGCCCACACTGTCTGCCACCAAAGTCCTTCCCTGACTGTGGCCTGTTTTCACGTCTCCAAGACTTTGACATTTCTGTGTGATTAGCCACATGAAAATGAGGTGGTACACCCGAGAGGGTGGGCCCTAATCCGTGTGACTGTGACCCTGTGAGCAGGGGAGAGAGAGGCGGGAGGGGGAGTGCATGGTGGCGAACAGGAAGGGCTGCAGAGGGAGCCCAGCCCCCTGACACCTGCTTTCCGGCCGGCCTCCAGACTGAGGCACAGGCCATCAAGCATCGGTCTGGGGGTCTGGGGCCGCCACGGCCAGTTAACCGCGAGGGGCCAGGCTCCTCGGGCCTCGTCTGCTGCCCTGGCCACCAAGTTCCAGCCCTGGCAGAGGCCTGCTGCCCCTGAGCAGAGGGACCCCCAGGCTGGATGTGGGGTCGAGTGGATCCAGCAGCCTCTTCGTGGGACTTGTCAGCATCCAGTAGTGCCCACCAGCGAAGGGAAGGGCCCAGGATGGAGGCTCATGGATCAGTCGCCAGGGTGCCCGGGCCCTTGTGGGGAGAGGAGCAGGGACTCTGTGGCTTCGGGGCCCCTCCCACCTCGACCCAGGCTCCAGGCTCACACTCGGAGCCTGGTCCCTCTCTGCCTCTGCCATGGGCCCCACATCCATCACTCCAGCCACAGAGCACCTCTAACTTCCTTGGGGCTCTGGGAACCAGCACCACAAACGGGCTTCAAACTGCCTACAGCTGGATCTGTGAGCAGAGCAGGCCTGGACCCTCGCCCCCACCTGGGGGCCAGCAGCCCAGGGATGAGTGAGCAAGAGGGGGTGTGGGCAGGGCCCCGGATGCCGCCCCTGCCCGCAGAGGCGGAACTGGACTTGCCAGGTCGGGGCCAGCCCACTGGACCGTGGAGCCGCCAGAAGCAGCACTGGGAGCCTCACGTTCTGGAGAAGGCCGGGAACACAGGCTGGCTACAGGGTGAGTGACTGGCCCAGTTGAAAGCTGCCACCTCAGAAAGATTTTCAGTGGGTGGTCTCGCTCTAGCCTGGGGGCTCTGCTCGTGCTTGTGGGTCAGCCCAGGTCCCTGCACCGAAGTGTCCTGCACCCCAAGGCCAAGCGGGTGGGCCCCAGGAACCAGGCAGCGGCAGGGAAGGCCAGAGTCACAGGCCCTTGGAGGGTCATGGCCACATGCTTGACTCAACTCCACGCCTACACAGAGGCACATGGGCCCGCACCCGGCAGAGCTGGAGAAATTGGAACTCTGTCTGGCCAGGATGGGGAGGCAAGGTATGGTTGGCATGTCCACCCACTGGACACACCTGGGAGCCTGCAGTGCTGGTTAAACCCTGACCCCCCCAATGAGCTGGAATGAATGGAGACTGATCGTCCCCGATTGCAAATGGAGCCTCAGCAAGAATTTTTGGCCAGGGGCTCTCTCCCGCCAGGAGGCTCTCCAGGACGGGAGACTCTGTGAGGACAGCATGTGAGCCGGCAGCACAGGGAAGGGACCAGGGCAGCCGTGGGGACAGGCTGGGCCACAGTAGCCAGCGACTTGGTGCAAGGGCATCCGCCTGACTTCAAGCAGAAACCTCACACATGCCTTTCTCTGTCCTTCCTCTGCAGGAAGCTGGAGGCCTTGGAAGGCGGGGCCCCTGGGGATTGGTCTGGGCACACACCAAAGAGACACCTGGTCAGCCGTGAGTACCGGGGAAGCTGGGCACCTCCCACGGGCAGCCAGGGCCAATGGGACTGGCAGTCCCTCCTATCAGATGGGGGCTCATGGAGGCATTAAGGCACTGTCCCACCTGAAGGCCTTGCCCGTGGCTGAGGAAAGGCCCTGTCTCCACGGACTGCAGTGCCCCTTGCAGCCCGAGACCG